GAATGAGCAGACTCAGAGAAGGCTAGAAGTCAAAAGATTTGGGCTCCCAAGTTCTGGTATTTAAAAAGCCCTACACTTCCATGCGTCTGTTTCTTTAGTGTATAAAGTTAAGATATTAATACCTCTCTCTGACATGGATTGTTCCATGAAGATCAAATTAAATAGTATAACATTCATTAAAAACAAAGCAAGTGCAATTCAGTGCAAGTAGTAAATCTGGACCTACTACTACTGCTAAAAAGACTAAATAGCCCAGCCGGTGTGACTCAGTGGTTGAGTGTCCACCCATGCACCAAGAGGTCGTCGGTTCAACCAGGGCACATGCCCAGGTTGTGGGCCCGACCCCCAGTGGGGGCATGCAGGAGGCAGCCAGTCGATGTTCTCTCTCATCGATGTTTCTCTCTGTCTCTCTCTCTTTCTCTCTCTCCTTTCCTCTCTCTCTAGAATGAATAAAGAAAAAAAAAACATTTCTTTTTAAAGACTAAATAAAGTCAGTGACGATGTCAGTCCTGAGCTGGAAGGTGCTGCCTGTCTACAGCTTCATCTAGGAAAGGACAGCTGGCTTCCCTTGGCTGTAACCTTGTGAAAGATCTTGGCCAGAGCCACCTGGCTAAGCCACTGCCAAATTCCTGACCCACAGAAATGGTAACATAACAAATGTTTGGTGTTTTAAGTTTGGGGGTAATTCACTGTGCAGCCATACATCACTAAAGCACCCCACCCCCAGAGTTTCTGAAAATCGTCTGTAAAAATGGAGATGATCATAGTACCTTTCTCAAAAGGCCGTTGTAAGGACCCAATGAGAAGCATATTGGAAGCCCTCAGCCCCATAACTGGCACACAGTGCTGGCTGTTATTACATCTTTGCGTACCTTCTTTTCCACAAGCAAGGTGATCCCACATGATTTACAGTCATATTCCCTGTAGGCCTCGGCACTTGGTTAAGTCATAAAACTTCAAGTATACAGAGCCAGCTCTCGTCAGTCCCTTTATATCGTCTTTCTCTAGGCATCACTTGGGCAAACAGTGTTACCTTTTTCTCTCTGATCCCTTTTGGGATGAGCAGCAAGTTGTCGAAGAGAAAAGGCTAAGTTAGCACAGGCTAAGGCTCAGGAATCAGAAGCCAAAAGAGCTGGCCTGAAAAAGACCAACCCACTGACCTTATGAGCACTGGACAATGGTCAACAATAGTGCACTGAGCTAGCTGGAGTCAATTCGAGCTTTTACAGAGCTCACTGTTTAGAAATTGTCCCTGAAATATACAAAGCTTTCATTCAGGCTCATTTCTGTGCTTTAAGCCTGGAATAGATCCTGGACTTCCTCAGGCAAACTTCATAGATGTTATCTTTTCTCTCTCCGATTATTCCTGTCTCCTTCACATTTGGGTTTTCCTTTATTACTGATGCATGGGTGAGCAGTCAAATTTCCTAGGCACTGAAAAAAGTGTAGAGGAAATTTACTGCTAAAGCAGCGCAAGGAAAAAAGAACAGATATATTTCTATACCATAATAAAACTCAACAATTTAAGGGGGCAATAAAGAGATCACAAATACTGAGTAGACGGTTCTATCGCCACTAAGCCATGAGGAGTTTTATAGTTTCATTATGAGTAAATATATTTTACTGTTGATTCTCTAGGAAGCTCCATGTTTAAATATGTGATATCTTTTTGGATAGGATATTTTGGACATTTAAAATAAAACACAACCCTTTATTATATATAAAGAAGGAGGTAAAGTTTTAATTTTGCTTAGTAAATGCATAATTCCTAACATCAAGGAGTTTTTATTCTAAAAAAATATATATATATATGACTGTGGTATTAAATGGGTCTCTTTCTGGCTTTCTTTTTCTCTCCCTCTCTCATCTCCTTTCCCACTCCCTTTCTGGGTGTGTCTAACTCTGCTGAAGTCATCCTTTCATATAAAAACACTTAACCTCTTAAATCAGTCTCTCAGGGGATGAACTTAGGTTTGCTCACTTCTTCCTCCTTACTTGCGGTCATTTATTTCTTTGCTTTCCACATAATCTAGCCCTTTGTTTTGTTTTTCCATCAAATTTCCCTCCTTCCTTTTTTCTTTTATATTTCCTCTCTCATGCCTCCCCTCCTCTCCTCCTTCCAGGTATTTGTTTTATTTTAAACCTAGATTAACAATATGAAGGACCTTTCTTGGGTAACGACTCTGGATTCTTTGTAAGGATGTCATCCCTTACAACGGCACAACCCAGGAATGATAAGGCAGGAGCTGAAACAAGATGAGTTCCCTTTTCTCCTCCAATATACATACTGTAGACGCCATTTAAGAAATAGGAAAAGCCATGGCCAGTGTGGCTCAGCTGGTTCAGCATCGTTCTGTGCACCAAGAGGTCACAGGTTTTATTCCACCAGTCAGGGTACATGCCCAGGTCATGGGGTTTGATGCCCAGTAGGGGGCAGGCTGCGAAGGCAGCTGATGGATGTTTCTCTCTCATCGATGTTTATCTCTCTCTCTCTCTTTCCCTTTTCCTTCCTCTCTGTAAAATCAATACAAAAACATATTCTTAAAAAAAATAAAGAAAAATGAGGAGACAAATTACTTTAGTGGTGATGTAAGTAAAGCACACAGTGAAACCACATCTCCGCCCAGTTGCCCAAGAGGCGTCCTTAGACAAGCTCCCTTACTTCCTGTGTTCCCAGTGACCAAAGACTAATCATTCACATTTCTGAGTAGCTCTATATAGCCTCTGGTCTGCACCATCAGTCTCCTGGGACACTTCCTTTGCTTCCCCTCCAGGCTTGCTCACTTCAACCCACCTTCCCACTGTCGTGCCCAATGGCTCAGGCATGCCCAGAATTCTCTAGCAGTTCTTCATCCCCTACAGGTGGAAAGCATATTCTTCCTGCTGCCCACCGTCCTCTCTTGCTAAGAGTTCTTTATAACTCCAGATTAGACTATGCGATCTTGTGTCTCTGTATTGACATGCAAGGCATTCACCTTTTTTTTCTGGAAATCTTGCCTCCAGAACCTGATGTTAACCATTTGAATCTCCCTGAAAAAAAGGAGCCTCTTGTGAGAGTTTTTCCCATACTTTCCCAGAAATGATCCATTTTAACCCCAAGGAAGTTTGCTCAAGCCTCTCTAAATTATCTTATAGAATCACAATCATAGGTGAACATGTGACTCTCTCAGAAGACCCCATCACAGAGGACATTTTTGAAATATTTGTTCAAATTTCATTTGCAGAAAAAACTAAGGCAGCCCCTCCCCAGGCTTCATGCATCACTCAATAAAACAAAACATGTGTAGTGTACCTGACCAAACCCCATGGAAGACAGGTGCATGACCCAAGCCCCTAGGTCATTTCACTGCCCATCTCAAGTGGCTTATCAAAGTACAGTGTTCTGTTCCCTAAGAAAGTCCTGATAATTAGCCTTACCCATCTTTCCAGTGCCGTTGTGGTGCCTCCTTGATGTTTCAGAAAAAACAGCTATTCTGGTTATTTTGACTTGTTTGCATATCTGTTTTCCACTAAACTACTGTAAACACCTTGAGGTCAGAGTATGTTAATCTTTGTCTTTGTAGCAAGTAGCACAATGTGAATATTTGATTCTATGGCTGACCCATCCTTTGGTTGTGTGTGTGTGTGTGTGTGTGTGTGTGTGTGTGGTTATTTAAAAACACAAAGGATCACTTTATGAAAATAATTAAATTTCAACAGTTCACAAAAGAGTCAAATGTAAGTGGATCAATGCCCGCCATTTAACAGTCTAAAATGGTGATAACCACTGCTTTAAGTAAGTTAAGTCATTATCAATAAGTCAACACACTCAGTTATTTAACCTTTGGCACCTTTGCCCTGGCCCTGGAAATTGCCAGGTAAACATAGTTTTTGATAGCTCTATAAACTAATTCTGAACAGTCACCTTGAATTTTGGATAAGACACCCTCAGTATATAAGCACTATCTACACATTTCCTGGTTGACTACACCTTCCAGGTAGATGATTCAGTTAGCTGCCTAGAATGTGTAATACTGAAATGAAACTAAACACTTAAAAGGAAAATTGGACCAGCTGGTGTGGCTCAGTGGTTGAGCATCGATCCATGCACCAAGAGGTCACCAGTTTGATTCCTGGTCAGGACACATGCCCAGGTTATGGGCCCAAACCCTAGTGGGGGGCATGCAGGAGGCGGCCAATCTATGTTCTCTTTCATCAATGTTTCTCTCTCTCCCTCTCACTTCCTCTCTCTGTAAAATCAATAAAGGAAAAAAAAAAAAAGGAAAGTTGGGCCAGAGGAGACTCAAACTAGTTATTCTTGCTTGTTTGCATCCAATAGTAGGTATTCCCTGATAGGAATGTTTTATATTGAGAGGTAGGGCTAAACTTGAACAGTTGGCCAAGCTAAAAGAAATGAAAGTAGCTTTAAATTAATGAATCTACCAAGCATCACTGATTTTACCTCCCTCTGAATATTATCACGTACTACACCAGTTTTATGATTTAACTCTGAAATAATTATTTTTGTAACTTCTGTAAGTGGTCAGATAGTAATTTTCCTGCATCCCAGCTCTGATGGGTTTCCATCATTCCTGAAGGGAAACAACCTGGAGCCCTGTGCACTGTCTTTTCTAAAAATTGCATTTTGGGGCTTACTTTCTTACCCCCCCACCCCCCAACATGTGAAATCTTTAAACACTGCCTCCTTTCTGTTGAGGATCACAACCGCGATCATTTAAATTTTTTAATTTAAATTTAATACAAAGAAATCCTAAGAATTCACCCCTAATTTCAGGAAATATTTATTAGTTACACATAAATCTTGGCGACTCAACACTGGAGACCCAGCAGAAGTCAATCTAAGCTGCTACCCTAGAAGCAGCAGCAGCGCCTGGGAAGTCTCAGCTGTAACCTGTGGCACTGGTCCCAGCCCCGGGCAAAATCCTCCGTTCTCCTCGGTGTGGTAAAAGAACTAGATCCTAGACACCAAGTGTCTTGTCTCTCAAATATTACAAACTTACTGCCTTTGTTGAGCAGAACCGCTGGCACAGTGATGACGGTGACGAGCGCAGCAATCCCCAGCAGTCCCAGGAGCACCTTCCATTGTGTCTGCAAGGCGGTTAGATCACGTCCAGTTAGAGCGAGCCCTTTAGCCCGGGTCTGGGTAAGAGGGTCGGGGCCCGGGCTGCCCCCAGGCAGCGGGATTCGCCGGTGGGCGCGCACTGGAAGAGGGGCACGGCGCGCTGGGAGGGTTCGGAGTCAGCCAGTCGGAGGCTGTGCGAGCGGCTGCCCTTGAACTTGTGGCCTCTGTGCACATTACCGATTGCTTCTCCACGCCTGCACGTCAGAAGCTAAGTGAGGGTTCGGGCGTGCATTTTATGGGTGGCTCTCCGGGTCGTCCAAGGCTCAGCGCCTAATCCAGCAGGAGCCCCGCAGGTCCAAGAGTGAGACGAGAGACCTGGGAAGTCCCTTCACCTGTCAGAGGGTGGCCCTGGAGCTTCTGCCTAGTGAGAGTCCCTGGTTCCGTGCCGAGGGGTTTGGGGGAGCATTTCGGGAGAGTTTGGTGAAGAGGGACCTACAACTCGACCTCGGGGCTGGGGAAGCAGGAGGCGCGCCACTCACTCACCTTCATCGTCGGCGTCTCCTCGGAACTGAGCGTCCGGAGCGGGGCGGGCAGGCGAAGTCAGACCAGCCGCCCAGACGCGCGTCCAGCCCCGCCGCTCCTGGCCTCCGAATCGCTCGGCGCTCCTAAGTTTCGGCCCCGGCGAGTTAAACATTAGTGAGAGCCCGGCCCGCTAGGTGTAAAGGGCCGCGGGGCAGGCTGCGGGAGACGGCGCGTGGCCTCCGGACACTGGCATCCCGGCCGGGGGGCGCCCGAGAGGCACCTCCTCCAGGCTGTGCGGGACGCGGGGCGGCAGCCGGGGCGCGCAGGGTGCGGGGTCCTGGGGACTTGCCGGAGCGATCGTGAGACCCCGATATGGGTAAGCTGGCTCGAGCATCCGACGCGGAGCCCGAGGACGCCGACGCCCGGACCCGGGTCCGTTTTATGAGAAAGGAGCCTTGCAGCTTGGCTCGGGCAACCTCGCGTGGACAAGCAAGGGAACCGAGCCCAGAGGGTCATGGGGCTCTGCAAACTCGCACAGCTCATGGCTGGCAGCAGAAACTAAAAGCCAGGCCTCTATCTCTTGCCAGTGAAAGGTCTGCTGGGGAGTAGCGGGGTGTTTAAAGCTTTTGGAAGGCAAAGCGAGATAAAAGGTGATTGATTATTCAAATATGAATGAAAAGTAGAGGCTAAGTATCTGGATTCACCCGCAGGAGGGAGTTTCCGGCTTGTTTTGCAGGCTCACTTTCTTATCAAGATGCCAAAAATAATAACACTAACACTTGTGTGGAACTTACTTTTTCTCTAAGGTTGCTCTAATCATTTACTGTGTTTATTTTCCAGGAAGGAAGCCTAGGCACAGAGAGGTTAAGTCACTTGGCCACTTCACGCAGCTAGGAAGTCGTGGAGTCTGAATTCATGTTCGTAACCACTGCTTCACATGGCCTGTTGTCTTTCAGTCTTGCAAAGAAGATATGGAGAAGAGAAAACGGTCAGATGTGGCTTTGACTTCACCCAGCTTCTCATTATGCATTGTAGGTTCCTTTGGTCATTCATTCATTCATTCATTCATTCATCTCCATGTCCTCCCATTTATTCCATCCATTCCACTAATATTTGAGTGGCTACAATGTATCAGCTCTCTTTTAGAAGCCAAGACAGATGAGGTCTGTGTGCTTGGCTTTTTTGATATAAAGTACACAGGTACATATTTGCATTTACAACCCCTCTTTGCTTACTATCTTGAGGATGTACTATCCTTACCTTCTAAAAGTAGTTTGTGCAGTACTGCTGAAAATCAAAGCCTGTCCATAGAGGTAAAATATTAAAAATGCAAAGTCCTATGGAGCATTAAAATATGATTATGAATAAATTCATATTTTCGATCATTATCTCCATTCCAGACTTTGCTTCTGCATTCAGGGATTTTTTTTCTCCTCTTGACCACTACTTGTTTATCATACATACATACCCTCACCCACACCTATGTCCAGAGGCTCAAACTGAACTCTTTATTTTCTCCAACATCCTCGACTCACCCTTCTCTGATCATTTCTTATCTTCATTAAAAGTGTTCCCATTGACCATTCACAAAAACTGAAAACTCTAGTTATCTCAAGTTTCTTTTCTTCTCTCCTGCTACATTCGCTTGACCACCAATTCCTCACCAAATCTGCCTTTCCAAGTTTCTCTCAAATTCCTCCCCTCTTCCCTTTTCCAACTGCTGGCAAAAGTGAGTCAGTAGTGTTACTGGAGCCTGTGAGCTGGAGCTGTGAAAAGAAACCATCTAACAGAGACGACAGGGAATGGTGCCATATTGGGGACTCAGTGTCAGTCTCTGCTCTCACCAGTTTGTACACTCAGCAATGTAGGAAGGAAGCTACAAGCCCCATCAGCCTCAGACCAGAACGTCCGTACAGCTGAGTCTGTGCTTAACCTCCATGCCCACACCATGGCTCTGTACATCCAGCAAGCTCCGGGGAGGCTGGGGAAAGGTTGGGTGACATCCATGGAACAGATCATGTTCTCTGGAGGGCATGACACGAGACACAAATGTCTTCACGCTTGACGCCCACTTCAAAAAATTCTTTCACACGTCTCCCTCACCCAGACCTCCTTGCCCCCGGTCTTTCAATCTTGTTTTCTTCAAGTTTCTGGGAAACAGCTGGTCAACACATTAGCCACCCCTTATGAGTCAGTGTAATTTTATATTAGGCCATCTCTCTTTCCATTCAAAATGGAAAAACAGATGTACTACTCAAAGTTCTCTGTTAGGAAGATTTCTCTTTCTGCTGTATTGCAGGGCATCCCTGAGAGGGGCTGTGATGACGTGATGATTGGTACCAACTTACTTTGCATAAGGGCCACTCTTTCCCCTCCTCTGTTGCTCAGTTACACGGTGCTCCTCATGAAACTATAGATGTGTGTTGAAGGACAGACATTGAAGCAGTGAAAGAGGGCAACATGGAGTCCAAATTCCCTACTCATGTGAACTTCTTGTGCCTTTGAAACATTTGTGCTCATCTCCTGTATCTTATAGACACCATTTTCACTTTATAATGGGACACAGCTGAACATGCCCGACCATCATTTGGGGGATCAGATAATGATCAGTTTATTATGGGGAGTTCAGATTGTATAGTTACCTGCTGTTATGGGTTGAATTATGTCCCCTCTAAAAAAGAGATGTTGGATTTCTAATCCCCAGTATTTTAGAAAGTGACCTTCTTTGGTGATCGGGTCTTTACAGAAGTAATGAGGTTAAAAAAAGTCATTAGGGTGGGCTCTGGTCCAATATGACCAGTGTCCTTATAAAAATTGAAAATTTGGACACATAGACACCCAGAGGGAGAAGATAATGTGAAGACACACTGGGAGCAGGCCTTCTTCAACAAGCCAAGGAGACCAATTTGGAACATAGGCTTCTCTCACAGGCCTCAGAAGGAACCAACCTTCTCAGTCCCTTGATTCCAGACTCCCAGCGTCCACGACTGTGAGACAATCCATTTCTGTTGTTTTAGCCATCCAGTTGGTGGTACTTTGTTACAGCAGCCCCAGCAAATGGAAAAAACTGTTCCATGATCATGCTTTCAGCCTTTACCAAGACCTTGTAGAAAGAAAGACGCTGAGGGGGTGGAGGGACGGGAGAAAAGGGTAAAGGTGAACAAAAGGTACGAACTTCCAGTTATGAAATAAATAAGCCATAGAGATGTAATGTACAGCACAGGGAATATAGTCAATAATATTGTAATAACTGTCACAGTGACAGTTGGTTACTAAACTTAATGTGGTGATCACATCATCAGGTATATAACTTTCGAGTCATTATATTGTATACCCAAAACTAGTATAATATTGTACAACTATACCTTCATAAAAAGTCTTTACAAACCACAATCAGTTCTGAGAAAGAAGCACTGGGGCATGGGCAAGGCAGAGGGAAAAGAAGTACACACAAATAAAAAGAAGAGGAGCTGATTTGCATACTGTGGATAGTCATTGGCTGTTGTAGCCATCATCTAAGACAAGCTCCCAATGTTTTGGAGTATTTTTTTTTTTTTTTTTGGTACGTGCTCCTAGTGGGAACCAAACCCAGGACTCTCTGGTCTGCAGGACAACGCTCCATCGGCTGAGCCAAACCAGCCAGGACCGGAGTATTTTATTATATATCAATAGATAACTAATAATTTAAAAGATGGCTTCACTTTGTTCTAAAAACCTTAGGCATATCCTCTGTGATTCTCCTATTGTGGCATGTTCAAGGCTCTATAAAGTATCTCTGGTTGCCACAGACATGTCTAGTAACTATTGTATCTGCTAGGTCATTAAGATTCTAGTATCAGGGCAGCTTGCACTACAGTCTAGACCTAGGGAACCCTCTCTTGCTCCAGGCTCCCTTCAAAACAGGCAGCATGATAGGTTACTGAGTAAATGGGTTGCAGAGGCACATCCATTTGTGGTATATGGTGTTTCCAAAATCCGAGGAGTTCTGGTAAACATTGTCCCCCTTTATGGGGGGCATGCAAGGTGCAGTGACTTAACTTTCATTTTAGTGGGCACATCCTGACACACTCTGAACCACTGGATGCCTTGAAACTTTTGAAAATCTTCATGAGATTTATTCTCTACTGTGTGGCCACATTTGTCTTTCTAAAGCGTTTAAGGAACATGCCACTTACTGTACATCAAGGCCAATTCACATAATGTCACCAACGTAATGGACCAATGTGATATTCTATGGGATATCAAGATGACCAAGTTTTCAGTAGACTGTGTTAAAACACAGAGTAAGAGAGTTAGCCCTGAAGTAAGATGGTAAAAATAAACTGTTGCACCTTCTAGGTAAAGGCAAACTTTCATGTTGGTCTTTTATTAATTAAACTCTGGAAAGAAAACGTGCTCATCAGATTAGTAGCCCAGACACTAGGACTGTATTGTTTGACCCAGTAAAGTTACCATACCGAAAAGGGCAGCTGAGATGGATCCCTGATCATTTTCCACAATCCGTTTACTTTGCACAGACTCAACAGGCAAGTTACTGTGGTGTGGAACAGGAAATCAGCACTGCTGTGCATTTCAGGTTTTTAGATGAGTGACACTAACCTCTGTATTTGCCTAGGAATGCAGTTTTACTTTTGGTTCACCATATAGTTGTGAAGGGACAGTGCCAGGGCCTTCCAAGTGGTCGTCCTGCCACAATCTCTCCATGAGGCAGGAGAATGAAAGAACCAAGGAATGCAGACCGACTCCAGAAGCTGGAGAAAACAAGGATGTGAATTCTACCCACGAGCCTCTAGATACAGTGGTTCTCAGCCTGTGAGTCCCGACCCCTTTGGGGGTCGAGTGACCCTTTCACAGGGGTCGCCTAAGACCATCGCAAAACACATATTTCCGATGGTCTTAGGAACTGAAACTCCGCTCCTCTATCCGGCTCCAGGCAGGTCCACCCACATGCAGATACGTCCACATACAACCTGAGGAGCTGTATTAAAGGGTCGCGGCATTAGGAAGGTTGAGAACCACTGCTACCTCTAATGACCCCTGGGCTTTAGTTGAACCACTTCAGACTTCTGACCACCGGGACTGTAAGATCATAATTTGTGCTGTATTAAGCCACTGGGTTTGTGGTAATTTTTTATAGCAGTGATAGGAAACCAATTCACCACTATTCCATGATAGTGTTTTAACTCCATAGGAATTAGTATACATCTGAGGCCAATATTTAATAAGTCCTGGAAGGTCTCAACTTGTCCCATTTCA